GGGACGGAGGGCGGCGATTTGGTTTTGCTGGGCAAGGCAAGTTTGTCGTGCTCCTGTCGACCTGGTAACGAGATTCGAGATGTGACGCTTTGTACAATAACCCATGACTGGGGGGGAGAACAGAATGAGCATTGTCATGTACTATTATGGAGAAAGACTGGCGCAGAGGCCGCAGTGAGCAAAAAGAAAAAGAAGCAGAAGTAGCGCCAACAGGGGCTAGAAGATACCCATTACCTATCTTGTCAAGAATACACAGGATCAGAAACGAGTTTGTATGTTTTGCTTGTGCCATGGATTGTTTTATTTGCGGCCTCGTAGATGTCCCGACTTGCGAGAGTGAGAGAAAAAGGTGGTGTTGGTGTACCTGAAGGGAGAAGTAAAGTGACATGTGAGGGTATGAGGGAGCGAGGAGAGGAAGGCCATCTCATCCCATATCATTCATTCATTCATTTCGCTCATGCATCGATCCTATCATTTGATCAACTCCCAGTCTCCCAGTCTGCCAGTCCGCCAGTGTAGGTACGTAGACGAAGAAGCGACCTCGACGTTTCTACTCGTAGCAGGTATCACGACAACCTCAACTCGGCCAACACCTGTTCGATCCCTCTATCCAGCTCTAGTTCCAGGTCCCTTTTCCTTTTCCCATCCGTGTCCATATCCATATCCATATCCATATCCATATCCATTCCCGTTCCCCTACCTGTGTCCATTGTGCTGTCCATGTCCACATCCACATCTCCCTCTCCCTCCCCCTCCCTCTGCCGCCCATAACCCTCGTCCCTGTCCCGCTGGTGGTGTCGGAGCCTGCGACGGAGCACATTTTCCTCGAGATACGCCAGCATGAGGGCCCTCGCGTCGCGGTGCTGCCGACTCTCGCGACCCCAGGTGCGCTCGACGAGGGCGAGGTTGGCGCGGATCGTGGCCAGCACGTCCTGAACCTCAACCTCGACCTGCCCTGTTGTGGTGGTGGTGGTGGTGGTGGTTGTAGAAGGAGAAAGATCAGGTCCACCTGGGCCGATGTCGATGTCGATGGCGACGGGCGTCGAGGTTTTGTGGTTGTCTTGTTCCTGTTGCGATTCTGGAGACAAAGACAAAGACAAAGATGAAGTTTGGGTCTGGTTATTGATGATGATGATGGCCATCGCTTGTCGCGATCCACTTGACTTGATTTCTCTCTCTCTCTCTCTCTCTCTCTCTCTCTCTCTCTTGCTCAATAAGTCAATCGTTTATCTCTCCGTGTTCCCAGCTCGGCTACCCCTCAGAGGTCATTTCTGGTCAGAGTTGGTCGTGGTAACCATGGTTGTGAAAGACTTTTTTTTCCCTTTTTTTTCAAAACGGCGAAAAATGCACGAGAACGGAGTAAGGCCTTGACTTATCTACCTACATACTAGGTAGGTAGGTAGGATGTATGTCTGAGAACCGTACTCGGTACTTGGTACAGGGACCTCTAGCTTTTTAGCGCGAGGCTGCGATTTTCCAATGTCGATAATAATTACACCCTTCTATACCCCTTATCAGGGACCTGGGTACCCGACGAGCCGACAAGCCAGGCCAGACCACCACTTTCCATTCCTTCCACCTGCCCATGACTACTATTACCAGAGGGATCCATTTTCCGTCGACTACATCACTGCCAGCTAGATACCGACATATTATTCCATAACATACTCATAGTCAGCTGTCATCTTGTCAGCCGAGGAATCTGCGAGTGGTAGTAGTATAGCCGGCATCCTTTCCCTTCCCTTCCCTTTCCTTTCCTTTTCGTGGTCTACGTTACCTCTTGTTCACTGGTTCATCTCGCCCATAACACACACACAACCTACCTCGGTTGGGTTGGGTTGGTTGTCTACGCTTTCAAACATCCCCTCTCTCTGATCTCTCTATTCCACAACAAGTCGGAACCTGTAATAATGACATCCCATGACTCAGGTTATCACCTATCAATTGCCCATAGATTCAAATCCGAGCCTAGTTGGCTGTCGCAAAGTGTCGGTGAATACAAGTAGATCTTTCATTAGCGCCTCTGGCTGTACCTATTCCAAGCCATCATATTGCCGTGGCCTTTCGTCCTCCTGCTAATAAAGCCTCGTCCCAAACCAACGCCTTGCGTGTCAAAAAAAAAAAAAAAAATCAAGGCCGCAACAAATCCAACGTTCCCGCTTGTGCAACAAGGTCCGCCCGCCGTGATGTTCGCCGGGTCGTGTTTTACCTTTCCAAAAATTCAGCGTCCCTCAATGACTTGTGTCTGTAGGCGGCTCTTTGCTCGCCTCGCCCAGGTTGCGTCATTCCATTTCACGCTGTGTGTGATCCTGACTCTGCTAGCCGTGGTGGAAACAGAAATATTCCTGCCGCTTGTGGTGCAGGTTTCGGTCCTTCATTGTGATATCCCGGCCTCTGAGAGTGGTGTCCCGGCCGTCAATCGCTTGTCCCATATCTCTGCCCAATTTGGATATGCCGCACAATATGATCCGCTGCTTTATTATGAAGCGAATCAGCGTGTCTTGGGAAGCATGTAGCCCATCTGCAGGGCCATGCGTCGAGAATCAAACGATTAGTCGCCGTCGTATCGGTTGCAGGTCGATCGAAACTTGATATAATCCTCCCCGAAATCCTACAAAGAAGTGCTCAGTCAATCAAGGGCTTCTTCACTGAGCCGACGAGCGCCACCCCCAGACAACTCAATGCATTAGGGTCTGAAGCGCGTATTATAGTGGCCAAAGGTAACATTGGATTTTCGGCGTTGACATGAGAGGCGTCGCGTGCTGCTTGTTCGATGGCTTCCATCTCCGCTTTACATGCTGCGTGGTCCAGGGGACAGACGACAATGGGCTGCTTCAGTACGATATCTTTGGCGCCGGCCATAGAAGCCTAAGGGAAAGATTAGTTAGCCATTTAGTTTTGAGGCTGTTTGTGTCGACGTGGCGGTCGGAAACTCCTTTAACATACCTTGATGGTCAGGTAGTATTCGACCTTGTAAAGACCTGCCGTCGTCGTAAAGCCCGTCACCGCATATGTGGGAAACGCCGATCTTCCTCGAGGCATAATTCCATCCGCATCACGGACGTCGCTCGAAGGGAAGACAAGACCTAGGTTGGTGAAATAACCCGCTTCGGGCATCTTCACCCCAACCGTTTCGGTTTTTTTGACCAAACTCTTTGACTTTCTCTGGGGCTCGTCGCCTTCGTGATTGTAGATGACCTCCTCGTCGATGCCGATCTCGATCTTTTTGATGGTCACTTTACGCGCTTTGCTCAGCCAGTCCGGATTCGGAGATAGCTTGATGTACACGCTCACTGGGTCCAGGGGCCCATACGACCACCGCGGCAAGGATATCCCGAGAGTCACCAAGTGATCCGAAACCCTTTCTGCAGTTTCGGGTCGATTGTACATGCCAAAGGTCGAGAGAGTGTCGTACCGTGCGATGGGTACGGGGAAAGCATAGGTTTTGCGATCGGTTCCTCCATAGCCCACTGTCACCACCATCTCGTAGTATGTCTCGGCCGTCCGCCGTGGTAGTTGTAGGCTCGCCGGCGGTACTCGTCGGGCAGTCTCTTGTCCTCCCCGTCCAAAAGGTATGAATATTACAAAGGGCAAGTCCATGTACATGATCTCTTCGTACTCTCGGTTGGCCGGACATCGGAACAAGAGCATCTCTTTCCCCACCGTCTCCGTCGACTCCTTCCTGGGTGCGGCCAGGTGTTTCTTGGTGACCGAATCAGCATGGGGGTGAATGCTTTCTCTTCTCTGCAGGCAGATGGTGACGATGGAGACGTTGACAGGACTTGAGATGCCGACGCCGGGTCGTATTTCGACAGTTCCTTCGATGCGAGGCTGGATTTGAACATTGTCAGCAGCGCATCCTCTTGGGCTATCATGCGCAACTCGGCGTCCGTCGCTCGGAGGGGTGGGGGTGTGTGAATGTTTCCTCAACTCACCAAAGTAGCAGAGATGCCCGGGTATCCAACCAGAAAGTTTGTGTTTGGGCGGCCAGATACTCGCACAAAAGCGCTCATCTTCTCGTTGAGCTCGAACCTATGTTGAGACCATTACCACGAGGCGGGAGTGAGATGATCCAGTGAATGCGGCCTCGGAGAAAAGTGGTAGGATTGGAGAACTGCGGCGGCCTAGTTCTGAGGGACAGTATGAGGCCCATGAGGCGCCAGAGGATGTTACATGCAGAACAATGCGGGATTCGTTGTTGTAGGTTCTTTGTCGTACGATCAATAGGCTGGTGGGTAGTGGACGTCGGTGTGAGGTTGGGGCCCGAACTGCGTGATGACAAGGGCGGGTCAGAGGCGTGCGCAGAGTCGAGGTTTGGTAGCGGGGGAAGAGTGGGAGCGAGAGACGACGACGGAGGGTCGATGATGAAGATTTCCAAAGGATATACGGCGATGAGATATGAGGTGAAGATGGGATGTGATGAGCTGGAATATGAGCGCGGCTGGACCCAAGCGCAGATCGATTGGAATATTATACGAGGAGAACGGATTCAGTAGGTCGGTCAGTCAGTCAGTTCAGGTCAAGTCGGTTGGTACAGCGTCGGGGGCTTCCTTATTACGTGAAGCATGCGCCGCACAGCAACGTACCACACAAGCAGACGCAGGACTTTACAGGCAAGGCCGGCCCTGGCACTCCTGGGGCTTTGTTCTGGGCACCCAAGTAGCCTATTGATCCCTAGGTATGCTGTTTAGAGATCCAGACCCCAATGCCCACCACTCTAGTGTCGGCCTCTAATATATAATAATGCCCACCCATACCCAGCAGACCAGTTCCCGTGCTTTTGGGATTTCCCGTGCCTAACTAGAGCTCACCACAACGCCCATCCATGTCCCTGCGGCTGCCCTACAAGTACCGAGTACACCTCGATGATGCGAAGCTCTCCGGTTGATGACATGGACGACTTGGAAAATTTCTCACCAGTCAGCACTATGACGGTGAATGAATCACTCGGTTGTCCGATAAGGGAGTCTTTCGGCTCGAGCAGCCGTGGTCATCAAGATGAGATGTCGTCCGTAATGTTTCCCCAAGAAGTATTGTCTCTGTTGGTGGTTATCGACCAGATGAAATCCCGTTAAAGTGGCAGGGCGCCTCAGCCTTATGCAGGCCGGTTAGCTTACCTAGCACTACCAAAGCTCCTACTTGTAGGGTACCAGAGCCACCCGAGCCACCCGCCGCCTCGTCAACGGCGCCGCCTATTGCGTGCCGTCCACGGCTGTCCAGTGCCCATCCCCCATTGCCAACTGCGCCCCCCGCTCGCTTCCTGGCTACCAAGCCACGTTTGTCGTCCTTCGTCACCCACTGTGGCTGTTTGGATGCATCGAATCCATCCCAGTTATGCCATTTCGGCAATAATCCTCCGACTTCGAGCCACGGTCAGCATCTGTTTCCCCTCCCAATACTATTGGGAAATAGGACCATTGAGAGACCCTTTTCCATCTAACAACCTAGTCACAAATATATATGGGCTAGGACGCGTCCGCCGTGCTGCGCTAAGCTCCTCCGCATCCCGTCCATCAACATGCCAATTCGGGTTGCCTGACTTTATCCACTCGTCAAGTCCGTCCACAGAGCGGCTGACATTTTTTGCCAGCGGAGACGCTTTGGAAACAACACATCCATGCTCTTGGCCCGCAGGTCGGCCAACCACGACCACATCGGGGAACAGGGCATATCCGACCGACATCAAACATATGGTGACATTCCTTCTCAGCCGTTACAGGTGAGACCAGAGGCATGCGAGTACTTGGTCAACCTGAAGTGGGCACCGTTCGTGTCAATATTTGGTTTCCGAAGGGTCAACCATTCATGATGTGTCTCCTCGCCCGATCCGATCCGTTGTCCATTAGAATACGATATTCCATCATCATGGTTCTTTTGCAATACTTTTCTGGGGTGCATAGCTGAGCTTCCCACCAATATGAAGGTCGACCAAAATGGGAGAGCAAGGGGCTCTAGTTGGCGATACGTGGTGCTGAACGACTTCTTGGCTGACCTTTTTGTACTTGACTAGCATTGTTCGTCTCAACACAGGTGTTTGCTTTCCAGATCTGGAGTGGCCGCTCGATTGACCTTTCCCTCTAGGTCTTGTCTTTAGACCTATTCCTTGGCCTCGCTTTGGCTGTATGTTTCGGTCCAAGCAGTGGATGGTGTCGCTGAGAAGTATTGCGTCCCGGTCGTGGGGTTCTGGCTGCGCCATCTTCCTCTTCCAATTCATCCTGCTAGAGGATTCGCATGAATCGTCACCTTCTCCAGGATGATCTTCTCCTTTGGGCGGTATTTCTTGTCCACCTCCACGGCCTCCATCTTGTCCAGCGTGCCGCCTTCTTCTGCACCTTCAATCACTCGTCCAAAAACCGTATTCTTGCCATCCAAGTGAGCCGCCTCTGCGAGCGTGACAAAGAACTGACTTCCATTGGTGTCGGGTCCTTTGTTTGCCATCGACACCATCCCTCGCCCGCTGTGTCTCAACGCAGGGATTTTGATCTCATTTTCAAAATATCCTCCCCATATTGACTCTCCGCCCTTGACAACGGGTCTTTCTGCAGTCGCATTCCGGGGAGATAAGGACGTGTCGCCACCTTGAATGATGAACTCAGGTATCAGTCGGTGGAAAGGGGTGCCATCGTAGGCGCTAGAGGCGCATAACGCAAGGAAGTTCTCCGCTGTTTTCGGCACAGCTTCGCAGAAGATTTCGACCTTCAGATCACCATGGGTTGTATGGAGCTATAGATTGTGATGAGCATGCAAATATGTCGTAGTAAGGGCGGCTAAGATACGTACCGTGACAGACATGCTGGAGCAAAGAATCCATGAAGCGAATTTGGCTTTGGCCGTAAAGAAACGAGCGGCGGGCAGCTTTTGTGTGTCTTGAAGAAAGCTCTGGGAACTTGAAACAAAGCGTCAATCCTTAACTAGTCCCTAGTAAGAGACTGAGCGAAAGGCATGAACGAGTCGCTGAACATAAGCACCTGTTGTGTGCTATAACATAGTTGTAGGTAGAGAGGTAGGAAGTGGGTATATCGGAACCACACCATCACGTGATCGCAAACGACAGCCACCAGAGATGCACGACTCTCCACCATGGAAATCTACATGGAAATCTACAAGTACGAGGATTTCTTTCGTGCGCAAGCGATATGTCTTGTCCCCAATCCGGTCGGACCAATTTGAGGCTATCACTAGCAACTTGAAGCCAATATCCACAAATGAAACCTCATTCCATAACCCAGTTGTTCCCTCCTTTTCCGCCTTTCCAATAGAATAGACCGTCCCCGACTTGACGCAGAAGAAATGCCTATACACATGCATGCCCTATGTGTATCTCCGATCGCTCATCGTTCATTGTTTCCTAGATATATCGTCATGACAAAGTTCAATAAGAAGAACACCAGGCCCTAATGGTACAATGCCGAGCAGCAGCTCCGACATGCCGAGAATGAAAACTGTACAAGAGTTAAGGTCCAAATCAACCGAGCCCGAGCTCGCTGTTGATCAAATAGTTGGAGACGCCATGACCCCGTTCTTCTTCGATATCCAGGACATCAACATGGTGTCAAGCTGTGACTGCATCTCAGCCAACTTCGTCCGCTCGTCTAAGAAGAGATTGTGCATCAAGGGATGGTCTGGGCCCACCGGAGTGACATTCGATTTGTCGTGCACAATGATCAGAAGGTCTTTGATGTCCTGACTGTTTTCCATGTATGACCTCAACGAGGCATCTGACCACGTCGGCGTCGACCTGGAAGTTGACGGGGTATGTGTTGTAGTCGAAGGGGAAGCCTTTGAAGTGCTAGCAGTCCCCTCTGACTCTGAATGGATGAGCTCTTGTGGAAGTGGCGACGAACTGGAGACTGCTGGTGGCAGAGCTTGGAATTTGCTGTCCCCAAACTTTCCGGAGACAATAGGCGAAGCTGCCGAGACTTGGGCAGCAGAGTCTGATCGAGGCGGCTGTATCTCTGACTCTGCAACGGGAGAAACACTCTGGTGGACTCGCTCGTCCACCTTTGGAGTCTTGTCATCTGTTTCTGAATCACTTTCATCGATCGCAAAGCGATCCATTGACCGCTTTGCATAAACCGGCTTGACCGGTGATCCGCTGTCTGGACTCATCGACGGAGTAGACTTCAGAGCCGTCGTGACGGGTGAATACACTGTCCTCTTTTCGGTAAGTGAAGGGAAACGATTGACCTGTACTTGTTGAGATTGGTCCGACGCCTCGGGCGACTTCTCATCGGGCTCAACTCTGCGTACGGTTGGCGGGTCAGGTGCCGGCCCTGTCGGGGCTGGAGGGGTTTGTCCAGTTGATTGTTGTGGAGGGCGTGCTTCAGTAGGTGATGCCTTTGGTGATGGTCCTGGTGGCGTCTTTTGCAACTTGCTCGGCCTGCGTTCAGGCCCAGTTTCAGGCTTCATGGTCAAGGACTCTACAGAGTCCTTCGATCCAGGAGACTGACGAGGATCTTCCAAAGCCTTTTCGCTCTCTTCCTGTGGTGTGCCCTTCTTGCGCTTGAAGAGCCCACTGAGCATACCCTTTTTCTCCTTCTTTTTCTCCTTCGACTTGTCATCCACGCCGACAATCTTATCGAAAGTCTCCAGGCTTGGACGTTGGCGAACTTCCTGTTCCGCTGATCCACCGGAATCAGAATCACCTCGTAGCAGTCGGGGTGTTAGAGAGATCTTCTTCGTCTCGACTGTATCGTCCTTAAAGAATGAGTCGGTATTTCTGACGACCCCTTTCCTCGAGCGCTGGACAAGTTCGTCGCTTTGTCGCGGCTCTGAAATAGATTGTGATGGTTGACCCTTGACGGGGCTCGACGCTGTTTCCTTTCTCAAGCTGTCATTGCTGGTCACGCGCTGAATACCATTTGCTGCATTGGACTCTCGCGATTCCTGGGTCTCGACAGAAGCCGCCGAAGCCTCTTGTTGATCTTCGGCGTCACCGTCATCAGAATCCAGTCCAATCTGGTCGACTGGACCGTCCTCGCCATCCTCCTCCTCGTCCGAGTACTCATAGTCTGACGGCTCGTAATAAGTGGGAGGCGCGAACTGGACCGTTTTAGCATTCCGTCGGCGCATCGCCTTTTTCAGTGGATTCTTTGATTTTTCGGGGTTATCCCCTAGCATTTGCGCGGACAACTGTTATCACATCAGCAACGTCTTAGAACAGATGAGGAGAAACCTCGTACATCCACATTTCTGTGCTTGTTGAGTCGAGCTAGCCGTTCAGTCGGTGTTTCGATATGCTCGGCGGGTAGGTAGCCTGGATCAACGATGAGTGTACGGGGCCTTGCGTAGTTCCCAACTGGACTAACCAATGCTACTGTCTTTGACGACGCGAACAAGCCACCAATAACTGTTGCTATCATCGAGCAACACCATGGTGTCGCCCTTTGTGGCGTTGGCCTGACCTTCAACCGTTGCGACAAAAGTGTGTAGAGCATACACAAACTCGAAATCGATATCCTCTGTTTCTCGTAAGCATTCTCCTCCCCAACCAGAGTCGATGAAGCGTTCGTCGGTGGAGAATTGAAATTCATCGGTGTCATCATCAGAACTTTCCTCGAGCCCGGGAAGGCAAGAGTCTTCGTCTTCCCATTCGTCATCCTCGTCGTACAGAATGTCGTCGCCGTAGTCGTCCACCGTGCAAGCCAAGAGAGGGTCGTCAAGCGGCAACAAGTACCTCCGAAATTCTTGAGATTCGGACAGCGGAAGGTAGGGATGCTGGGTTGCCAACCCTAGTCCTAGCATAGGCGATGAGATGGTACAATACTCCGGCCGTTCACTCAGAAAGTCCCCGCCCGAATCTGGACTCTGCATGTACTCACCATGATGACTTGCCGCGTGGTGTGATTGCGAAGAGTGCAAAGGGAAATGCTCAGGTGTAGAAGAGAAGGGTGATGAAGATAAGGAATCGCCTCGAGTCGGCGTCGATAGTGAAGCCGGGGAAGCTTCAGAATCCACAGAATCGACCCGGGGCGGCCATGGGGGAAGGGAGTATTTACCATCTTCGATTGAAGGGGAGCTCGAAATTTTGTCCATCAAGTCGTCGTCCATGTCCTCGTCATGGGAATCAGTACCATCCCCTTCGTCCAGGTCCTGCCCATTGTATCCAGCGCCATTCGTCCCATTGTGGGTGTTTGGATGTTCATCGTCTCGGTCGTCGTCTAGGTCGTCATAGAAATGTTGATCCGACTGTTGAAACCCTCCATTGGGTCTGTCTTCTGAGCCTCTCGGGCTTATATGTTGATCCTGATATGACTCTTGCTCGGCATGTCTCAAAGTCTGGGCTTGATGTGGAGCAGCGGGACCATAACCATATGGCGAAGGGTGTGCGGGTTGTCTGGAGTGGTCTTTGGCAGAAGGCGAGGTATGGTCTTGTAAATCAAGGGTATCTAGCATCATGACGTGGTGAGCAAACTTCCTGGTTACAACAATATCATTCCCATTGATGTGAGCTTACCAGCTCTGACAAGCTGTGGCTTTAAAGTGGTCATTGCGCGAACCATCTATGTGGGCAGACTGGGTGTCGCGTAGAATGTCCGCCCACCAGAATCGACGGGACTCGAGTCGATACAGGTCGCATAGAGACACTTTTGAAACCGGCCAAGGAAACGGGCGCAAATGAGAGATTCTTCGAGTGTGCAGTGATCGAGGGTCAGGGCGAACGAGAGAGGTCGTGCGGAAACGTATCCTCGAGACCAGACGCGGTAATGACAGTGAGGGCGCGGCGACGGCCACCTTTTGTGCTCGAAGACGACTTCAGCGACGCGCTGATCAGCAAGGAGGAGAGAAGAGAGCGAGAATCCTTTGGAATGAGGGTGGCAGGCGCGAGGCGCAGGCGCTGGATTACCGAAAATAACGGTTTGTCGTGTGGCAACGGTGCGATAGATTCAAGAGACAATAATGAAGGAGTAGTGGGTAAAAACGAAGCCCTGATTTCCCCTGTCAAGAGCAAGCCATAATTGAAAAGAGCGAAAAGGGAAAGGAGGATGTTGTTTCAGGACTTGGTTCAAGGGCAGGGAAGCCGCCAAGCTGCCCCGCTTTCCAGGCTGTGGGCCGCCCGGCATACCGACACCAGGCCTAGGGACTGGTCTGAGGGACGTTTTTGTGGGGATCACACAACCCAGCACCCGCCCGCTGGGTGCCGTGGGTGCCCAGATGCCGCCTGCAGCCAGAGGCAGGGCACCAATTATCGAGATGCCCACACGGTTTGTCATTGTCCAAAAGAAAAGGCATTTCATCATTTCATAGCGCTCGATGACCTGATTAGGTCCGGAGAAGGTTTTCTTTTTCTTTATCATTTTCATTCTGTCATCGCATGTGACTGGTTTGTTGCTTTTTCGTCCTTTTGGGACAAAAGCTGAGGGCACAAAGAGAATCATGGGTTTGCGCCCCCGTCTGAAACGGTACTCTCCGCCACGGGCCAGGCCTATCCTAGGCGCCTTTAGCCCTGGGAAGGGTGCCCAGTGCCCAGTGCCCACTGTGCCTTGAATGCCTTTCACTTTGACTGCCCCGACCTCGGTGCGATTCCCTGCCAATCCTGCCAATATTTTTTTCTCTCACCAGACCAAGATTTGCGCGACTCGCTGGGCTCTTTGCCCCACGTGCAAGTCCTACAACACCACCACTTTTTCCTCAAGTCTATGCATGCATGCGTTTACCACCACGACTATCTGCTCCAGGCACTCGTATGGAGATCAGCTCGTCCGAATTGTGAGACCTACCGGTCTCTCCGATCTTGCCAACCAAGCAGTTCGCCACTCAAAAATTCTCTTGCGCGCTTCCGACAAGCTGAGGCGCATCTTCCGGGTTCCTCCTGCGCGTAATGGCGCAGGCTGACACCGGCCAACTTCTCCAAAGCCTGCGCCTGAGTTCCCAGAGTCATGAAGATGGCATCGACCACAATGTGTCCTCCCCCCCGAACGACATCTCCGGAGAGGTGAACGGGTCCCCAGACAGGTCTCCTGCACCATCCCGCCCGCCGTTCAAAGGCTCGGGTACAAGTCAAGACACCATTCGCCCGACGGCCACCCCTCCTGTGGACATACCGGCAACCAGCGAATTTCCCGCTATCAGCAGAGACTCTACGAGCCCTTCCGCATACATAGATCAGTTTATGCGACGGCGGAATCCGTCGGTCAGCTTCAACAATGAGATCAAGCTTGACTCGGGACATCGTCAGAGCATGCAAGAGCCGTTAGAGAAGCCCTCAAAGGCTCGCGAGCGTGGACGTTCCTTGTTTCAAGCTATGGCAGACGCCCAGAAATCGTCCAGGGCGCACAGTGAGTCAGAGCGGTCACACTATGATCCCATCACAGGCCGGCACCTTCCCAGATACTCCCAAAGCCCACCGAGGGAACAAGCGCGTATCGGAGAGGGCCGTTTTCCCTTACTACAAACCACGGTGGACGCGCTAGCAAGAGAATCCCAGCCCGATTTCCGGCACACTATGTCGATGCTCTCTGATTCTGCGCTGTCTCCTGATGAGCAAGCCGTGGTGGCTCCGGATGACGAGAACTATTTGCTGTCCCCTACGGCAGCTTCACCATTTACAGGACAGGCGTTCTCCTACGACGATCCCAAACCCTTTCGACGCACTGCGTCACAGAGGTGGCGAGAGGGCGACACCAGCGCCTCTCCGCAAGACTTCTTTGCGCGGGCAGGGAGTCTGCGCAATAAAAGTATGCGAGATATCGCCAGCCGGGCATCTCGGCGAGACACATCGGGCTCTGCCACACGGTCACCAAGATCAGCGGCCTCTTCGTATTTGCGAGCATTTTCCATGAGCAGCGGGACGAATGGTGAGGGAGCTGACGTGGGACCGCTCGCCTGTGATTCAGAGGGCCAGACCATTGGCGATGACTACGTGTTGGGTAAGCAGATCGGGTTTGGCGGTTTCAGCACGATTAGACAGGTGACGCAGCTCCAAGACAGTAAGCACCGTCTACTGGCTGTCAAGATCGTCCGTCGCCAAATCGAGGGGAAGACTGAGACGGAGAACGAGCAAGCCCAGGCTGAGTTTGAACATGAGGTTGAGCTATGGCGGTTCCTCAACCATCCCAATGTCCTTCCTCTTGAGGCAGTCTACAAGCTGGACGATGCCACTTTTTGCTTCATCCCCCTCAACACCGGCGGTACGCTCTTCGATCTTGTCCGGGCCAACCGCAAAGGGGTTCCACAAGAGCTTTGTAAAAGCTATTCCTATCAGCTGGCCTCGGCACTGCGGTATCTCCACCTCGATGCTCGGGTCGTTCATCGGGATGTGAAGCTAGAAAATTGTCTGATAGAGCCCAGCAGTGATGGAGGGCCAGGTCTTCTTCGTCTCTGTGACTTTGGTATGGCGGAATGGCTCTCGACAGACGGCATGTCCGGACCACCCAGCCCCGAATTTAACGATGCTGATCGACCTCCTCGGAAACACATCGGTCCAGCCGACACGTCAACCTCTGCCTTCGCCGGCGGTAGTCTGGAATATGCCGCACCGGAGATCCTGCGCATTGCGGAACGTATCAAAGCTGATATCTCAGTGGAGCGGGCCATTGTGTCGCCGGCGGTTGACATCTGGGCCTATGGTGTCTGTGTCTACAGCATGATTGTAGGCTCGCGGCCCTTTCACAATTCATTCCAACCCCGTGTGGTCATGGCTATTCTAGGTGGAGATTGGAACCGTGCCCTACTTTCGGATAAAGGCGGAACCGATGCCCACGAGCTTGTGAGTGGATGCCTTGAGATGGAAGAAGGTCTGCGCTGGGACATAACGAGAGTGGTCGACTGTGCCTGGCTTGAAGAACTCGCCGGCTCCGAGGACAACCAGCAAGGTATGAATGGATGGCGACTATGATATGAAAAACATGAAAGAAAAGAAAGTTTTAATTGGATGGAAAGGATGCCAGCTCTGTTTTGAGTATGGGGTTCCTTTCTGTTATGGCACGACACTCAGGGTTCTTTTTCGCTGTGGTTTTCGGCACCTCTTGGGACGCTTTTAGGGATGGACTGCGACGTGGAATATATGTCCATCGAATCATCCGTGAGGAGGACGACGGCGTTTGGATCGAGTGTCGTGTGGGAATGGGAACGAATTGGCGGAACCTGATCAACTTGACGACTGCGACGAAATGATTCTCTCTCTTTTCTTTGGGTGACTTTTTTGTTTGTGCAACATCGGAGGCAAGGTGGGATTTTTTTTTTGGCTCCGGGCGGAGACAGAGAGTTCATGTGCTTTGTGAGAAGAGCAAGCGAAATGTTGATATACCATTTTTGTATACTATGATTAACGGACGGTAAATTACAATTCCAGACTCAGACTCAGACTCAGCCTTGGTAAGTGGGTAATTTGTTTATGGGTATTTCCATACATGGATATTTTGACTTGCACTTTTAAGACTGCATGCTTAGATGCTTACCCTGGCCGACGATGAAGGGCTCATGAGGGCCGATACCTGTACCTGTACGGAGTGCGAGGTACCTTTTCCTATGCCCATGCCCGTGCCTGGCCAGGGTGCCAGGTAGGTAACTATGTAGGTACACAAGTCTGTAGATGGAATAGTCCGTGTAGTATACGAGTATATGACCGTGTATATAAATGTGTGTATATTGGTGTTCAGATCAGCCACTCCCCCCTTCCAAAAAAGGCCGTCTTGGGTATTCGGTCGTGAGAAGAGTTACAAGGTACAAGTGAATGTGAGTGCAGTCAGCCGCCCGTACCACCATTTCAGTCCCCGTCCCCCGTCCCATCTCCATTGTTGTACGAGTGGGCAACTTACCCCGGGCTTGGGGGTACAACTACCCCAAAGAAACTTCCTCCTTGCTTGGAGATACAAATAGGTACCCACCCACCTGCCACCCGAGATCCCAATAACGACCCTAACCGTAAAAGGCACTGGATCCGCCTCACGCCTCACATCTCGGTAGTAATGGACCGAGCAGCTCGTAGGCGTGTCCCTCCCCCCTCTTCTCCTCGTGATCCTCACTCCATCCTCATCGGTGGACAACCTAGGTGCTAGGTTGACTTCTACCATGGCAGGAACCAAGTCGGCCCGTGTTATTGAACAAGCTTGAGTGCCTCCCAAAACCCGACCCTGCCAGGATAAAACGAATGGAAATCTGCAAAGGGGGAAAAAGGGGAAAATACTTGCCCTGACTGCCTGTCCCACGTTAACGCCCAACCCAACCCCTCTTCCCCTCTCCCTCCTTTCGCGTATATCGCGCCTCGTCAGAAATCACAAGTAGCGAGTTATTGGGTATAATCTGTGTGCGATTTTTCAAGCAAATACCTTTCGCAGCTCCTCGCATATATTCGTGATGGCCGTTCTGCCGGCCTCCAGAACGGCATCCATGGCCAAGAAGGGGTGCGGCATGCCCTCCATCACAGTGACTTGGGCGTCGACGCCGTTGGCGCGGAGTCGTCGGGCGTACTCTTCCCCATCGTGCCTGAGCACATCGAGTTCTCCGACGATAATGTATGAGTGGGGTAGGAGCGCAAAGACGTCGTCCGGGGCTAGCAGCGGTGAGGCCTCGCGGTGCGACCAGTCGGCCTGGTTGGGGAGGTAGTGGTGTCGGTACCAGAGCATCTTCTTGGCGGGGAGATGCGCCGTGAACTCATACTCCTTCCAGCTCGGGCTCGAGTAAGGCGTCGCCGTGTTGTCCGTCACAGGCACCACCAGCACCTGCGACCGGATCGAGACTCCTGGTTGTGCCCGCAGCGCAGCCTTCTGGGCAATGACGGCCGCGATGTTGGCGCCCGCCGACGCGCCCGCGATGGCAACCTTGTTCAGGTCCAAGTCCAGCCGATTCTCACCCTGCGATGTCGACCAAAGAAAGGCCTCCCATGAGTCATGAATAGCTGCCGGCCAGGGTTCCTCGGGGGCGAGCCTGTTTCCCTCCAAAAGGAATCAAAGAGGCGAAGTCAGACAGAGATCCCTAGCATTGGAAATGCTCACCAAATGAAATGGGCGTATTTCTTTTGGGGTTAATTTCTGTCGCGTTTCCCCCTTCACCCCTTGCGAAGGAAAAGCAGCCCAATTCACGGGAAATGAAAGGTGGGTTCTAACCTATAGTCAGTGGTGATGACCACCGCCCGAGCTCGGTCACAAATATTGGTGCACACGGTGTTTTCGGTGTCGATATCCCCGAATACCCACCCTCCGCCATGGTAATATAGCACCAGTGGCCAGCCTGATCGAGGGGCTTTCCCTGGTGGGGTGAAGCACCTGATGAGGACGTCGGGCCCAGGGGTCTCCTGTCGCGATATGGAAACGTCCTGCACTCTGCCCACGGGGAGGGGCTTGCTGTGGCTGGGAGGTACGGTCCGAGATCCTCGAGCCACCGAGATGGGGAGGTGGTGGACCTGTTGTGCATTTAGGATATATTTGTTGTAGAAGGCGACGTATTCGGGGTGCAGTCTGTCCTTGACGCTGGGGTGAAGAGGGTAAGGCGGTTGGTGTAGTTCGGCGACCATTTCGACGGGGTGCAGTGTGTTGGGAGGTATTCGGTGGATGAGGGGAGTAGGCATGAAACTGATTAGGAGTCCATTGAGAGAGAGGAAAAGGGTGTGGAAGAGGAGGTGTTGGTGGTGTTGGTGAGAAGTAGTGGGAAGAGATTTCGTTGCGGTTCTGGCTTCCTTTTCAACCGGTATAACAACCACCCATGATGTTTGTATCGAACTTTATTTGTTCGTCATTGTAACTTCGGGCCAAAGTATGTTCCACAAGTGAAACTCAAGGAGAAGAGAGAGAGAGGGAGAGAGAAGGGCAAGAAAGACAAACTCCCCCAAAACTCAGGTAGTACCTAATTACATTTTAACAGAGCTTCCCTTCGCTCCATCTACCCTCAACCCCCAGACCCAGACCCAGACCTCTGCGAGTAGACTAGACCCTCGATAGGTACCAGACCACGCAGTACCAAGGCCCCGAGCCAACCGGCCAACCACTCTGGCGGGATCAATGTCACTTGGACTACACTATAGCTAGACGTGCTAGACCAGGAACCCACACTTGTGGTGTTGATTGCTATTAGCGGACCCGGACCTCGTGGTGTTGTTTGTTCGAGATTTAGTTCCTTGTCCTAAAGTAGTACGAGGATAAGGAACCCGTAGTTACACGAGCAGCGTGACGAGGACCTGGTAGGACAGGTACAAGGGCGAGTGTGAGTGCGACGATGCATGTTATGGTATGGTATGGCACGGATTGTCATGTGGGGGGGACTCGCACCAACTCTCGGTATATTTCCAAAAGGTTCCAGCCTGCTGGGCTCATCCGTCCCCGGTCTCTCTTCCTCGTCTTTGTTTCTGCTTGCTCCAGCGGTGAACTAGTAGGAGTAGGTAGGTAGATAGGACGAGGGAGGAGGAGGACGTGGAGGATTATCCGTTATCCCAGGTGCACATCCTTTTGTTCCCACAAGTACCACCTCCACCCTCACCCTCAAGCAAACATCCATTTTGTCGCTCATCTCCGGATCTGACGGTTTCTATTGGTTGTAGTGATGCTGACAAGGCCATACACAGTCACGGTTCCTTGTGCAACTGATGCGTGGGAAAACGAGGACAATGAGAGAGAGGAAAGGTGAGACTGTGAAACTGTGAAATGTGAATTAGCATGTGTGTGTGAGTAAGAGAGAGTGTGAAAGATGCAAAGCGACCTTGCATTATCATCATCCATGGCTCGGCCCCCGCCGTCGCCGCCACTGCCGCCGCCGCCGCATCCACCTTTTTTGCTTTTCCATTCATCCATCCATCAAGGATCAAGGGGAGCTTGAGCCAAACTTCTTTTTTTTTTTTGCTTATAGCGGAGAGAATTGGTTGCAAAAAGTGGAGTCGTGTTGGAGGTAAACGAATCTAGCGAGTCTAACGAGGAGTACAAGGAATACCAAGGGAGTACCTAGAGGGGGAGTGACAAGGAGTAACAGGGATAGTCGAGGTACCACTGACAAGATGCAGACTGACGCCTACACTGATCAACACTGACCAGGCTCTGCAAGTCCGAGAAGACTCAGTCACGCTACCTATGGTGTCATGCTGTGCAACTGAACTTGTCTCCCTTGTCTCCCCAATAAATTCCAATGGGAATAATCGAATGGCTTTGGGGTCGATACCAGGTGAGAGGTACTCGGTACTTGTCGGGGGTTGGCCTGGCTTAGCCTGGTAGCCCTTGGATTAGCGGCCATCTATCTACCCACCTGCCACCCAGGCACGGCACCCAGGGCCTCACCACCTGGGACGAGAGACTAAGGAGGTGCTAGGTAATGGGCACTAGGTAGAGGGAGTACCGAGGGTATGTATGTAGATCACTGATCGCTCTTTCGTCCTGATGTCCCGAGCTGTCTTCATGGTAGGAGATTCGCGGTAAAACTTCCCTGTCATCTGCAACCTGCCTGCGACCTGCGACCTGCATACCTGGAAACAACCGAACCGAACAAACAATCCACAGCTTCTAACTCGTAAGCCCCTCGCAGGCTTGCAGCAACAAACAACATCGTCGTGCACGTCCTGCATCTTTTGCCGAAGCGCAGAACGAATCAGAGCAGTGCGCAGCCCCTGGTTTGCTGTTGTTTGCTGCTTGCTGTTTGCTGTTTGCTTCGTCTCGTCTGCGGGGCACAAGGTACTGTAGGTACGTACAAATTAGTGGGCAGACTTGCCTCCTGATTGCAGGTTGCATGTCGCGGCAGGTACAATGTACTCAGGCACTCAGGGTACCTAACTAGCGTGCTGTGAGGCTGTGCAGATTCGTTCGAGATCAAGACCAGCAGTCTCCTTCTCTTCTGTTCTCTACTCCCTCGTATCCTTGTCCCTTGGCCAGGAATTCAAATTCAGTCGCTCCCTACTCGGCACCCATCTCGGTGCAAGTTATCCACTTAACCCATCAATTTCGCCATGGGAGTTACTCGGAGAAATGCGAATGTTTGGGCCATAAGTGGTCACTCTCCAGGCAAGGGATCGTCGTGGCTGCAGATTCAGAGTACTCATAATGTACCAAGTACATACACTCCCTATGAGGTCCTTCTGGACGTACTACTGTCCACCTTACTACCATATCACCATATCCGGGCAGCCGGTGTCCAGTCCACCGTCTTCATCAAAGACATTACTCGTACGTACTCGGTAGAAAGAGAAGAAAAAGAAAATAAAAGAGGGTACTTCCTACTTCCTAACCGATATCTAGCGAGAGCGGTCCAGACTTTGGCGCCCCGTGCGTCCCCCAGAAGTAAAAGTAACGAGACAAGTACATATGACGAGGCACCGAGGGCTGCCCCTGGCCTATGGTGGTTCTGGTGGCCCTGACCCTGGCACTAGAAAACCAAGGAAAATAATTACGAGAGATCGTCGTGTCGAGCGAGGGAGGGAGGATCTTCCCTTCCCTTACCCTCCCGTTTTCTCTTTTTCCCCATTATTCTTCCCTCCATGCCATTCATTCCCTCGGGGAAATGGTCCACAGTCACCCACCCACCCCCAACATGTACTGTGGGCATGTCATGCTGGTCGTGTCATTGACGGAGCGGAGGTACGGTGGCACGGTGGTTTGAGCGCGTGTGTGGTGGTCTTGTGTTCCGTTGTGGCCTTGGATCCTTGTGTCCTTGCGGGCTTGCGTCCTTACTTTTGAGCCGATCGACGCAAGGACAGGGAAGGACAAGGAAGGATGGATGTCGGTGACAAGCGCGAGCGCGAGCACGAGCACGAAGATCATTGTAGAATTGCCAATTGTTATTGGCTGTAGAACACTTCTTTACTTGGGTCTGGGGTATACGGAGTAGGTAGGCTTGGTAGGTTAGTTGGCTAGGTCAGCTAGGTGTGCATACTCAAATCAATCTGTGTTAGCTGGCTCTCCAATTTCACCCATGCGATCATCGAGCCTATAGCTCATGGTGCATAGTGATGGTGATGGTGATGGTCATGTGTGCTTTCTCTTTTTTCCTTTTTGCCCTCTCCTCAGGCCATCTTTCTTCTTTGTTTCACCCTTGCGCTGATTCATCGTCCGATCTGAACAGGGTCGATAGATAGAGGAGGTGGGACATGGATATCGGCGGCGCCGCTAATAACTTGACATGCCATGTACCCAGGTAGTGGTGGATAGGTAAGAACAAAGACCCAACCGAGAAAAAAATTGCCTAATCAAGGAATTTCTAGGCTGCGTGGTGTGGTGTAGTGTGGTGGTAGTGCAAGCGAGTCACACTCAAGCTATCTGGCAAACACTATTGAGGTGACGCTGGTGATACTGTAGGTGTCGGTAGGCTAGGCGTCAGAGATGTGTGTCCTGAGTACGAGGTCACGGGGTACTCGTGCTCGGTATGTGTCGGGTAATTAATGAGCATTGTCTGACCCAGGTAAAGTACCTACAAGTAGGAGGATGTACTCGGTACCTCGTACTGAGTACCGAGTACAGAGATGGAAGGGGCTCGTGATTATCAGTGAAAGCCAGAATAGCAAGCCACACTCACCCCTCACCCTCCTACCCCAGATTTCCGTTACTTGTTATAAGAGTTTCAGTGATTGTGCCCGACAATGTTGCTCGACGTCGATCGTCGTCGGCAATCATGAGACTGAGGCCGTCAATGTGTGTGCAATATTCGTAGTCGAAGCCAAGCAACCTTGGTGGGTTCGAACGTTAGTGAGGCTCCCCCGTGGCGTCGCACTTGGTACTCTCTCGACGTTATGCCAAGCACAGCCCCCATTGGCCAGTGCTAAACCCCCTGGAAGTCAGGGACAAAACTGCGGAGTTGAAAGCCCAAGTCGCCTGAGGACACTTTTATTTGGCTGCGGTCTATCTCAATCGTCCTCTACTCGATCCTGCCGTCAACACCTCCTCCAGACGCCGCTTGAATTCCCGTCTCTCAATCCAACCCCAGAGTGTTTTCAGTTTGATAAACTCCGGAAGCATGCGATTTGGCAGAGCAGCGGCCTGCGCCGCGTTGGCGGGTTGGATAGGGGCAGGCGTGGCACACAACATCGCTCTGAAAGCACACACAAGAGAATGTTTCCACGAAGAACTACACAAGGACGACAAGATGACGGTGACCTTTCAAGTGGGCGACCGTGAATTCGGAGGTGCTGGGAACCTGGACATTGATTTCTACGTATGCCAAAAAAAAACCCCCGACTGGCCCATCTCTTTGGTATCGAAGACTTTTTTCCCTGACTGACCATTGGGGCGGTTTGTGATGTTTAGATCACCGATCCTTCGGGGTCTTATGAAACCCAGCTCAACTCGGTGTCCTCGGGCGACTACTCGTTCGATGCCCGCATGGATGGGAAATACGTCTACTGCTTCAGCAACGAGCATTGGTCCGCCAACAGCAAGGAAGTCTCTTTCAACGTCCACGGCATTGTCTACGTCCCCGAGTCTGAGGCGCCCCAGGATCCGCTGGACACGGAAGGTTCGTATTTTGATCCCCATTATGGACCACCAGAGACAAAAGTCGCAAGGAGACTGACAGAATATGCGTCGGATCTAGTCCGCCAACTCTCCGATCTCCTCGCCCAAGTCAAGGACGAGCAAGCCTACATTGTCGTCCGTGAGCGAACGCACCGAAACACGGCCGAAAGCACAAACTCAAGGGTCAAATGGTGGTCGATATTCCAACTGGGCGTGTTGATAGGAGAAGGAGTGTTCCAGGTCTGGTGGTTGAAGCGGTTCTTCGAGGTGAATAGCCGACCCCTTCCATGATCCCATATGGTGTTTTTGCGCCTTGGTTATGTGTGCTGGAGTGGGGTGACTGTCTGATTTTGAAATTGCATCTGGCTGGACCAAAGAAGACAAAAAGTTGGAACCATGGCTGACGGTTGTCTACGTCACAGGTCAAACGTGTTGTATAATAGTTCACGAGGTCTTTATGAGATGGGGAAAAAGGTCCTCGGCCAGTGTTATGTTAAGTGTCTTTCATCATCCTCGAGGCCGCATCACTGGGTATTGGTGTTTTCCAGGTTGGGGGGTCTGTTACGACCAAGGTACCATTGGGGTTGAGGTCACAACGACACCCATTCGAAGTCTTGCCAGAGTACTCCATCGCTAGACATTACGCGTGGTCCCTGAGCGTGAATGGACGTGTCCTGGATGGGGCCAAATGGACATCAACTTCATCCGCAGGCTCGGGTGGCTGCAGTCTCGAGAAGTAATGAACCACCAGGAAATCGAGGACGAAACAAATAGACAGAGAAGACATTACACCATCAGTAACATACGCGACAGAGGGGACTATGAGAGAGGAAGCAATATAACAAGCGATTGGTTTACCTTCCCTTTCCAGCCAGGCGCACAACAAAAATCTCAATGAAACAGCTTCACACGCCAGCAAAAAGGAAAAAAAGAAGGTCCCATTCGAACTTGATCAGGGCTCGAACAGGGAGAAACGCTAACAGGTTGTAACACAAGGCCACGACCACAGAAGAGATTCTATATTACCAATGGTATTGGTGTGAGAAGAAGTAGTATTGTAAGTGATATTGGTACTGTCAGTGATACTGGCATTGTCATTGAGATAGGCATTGTCATAGATATCAAGTAGTAGTAGTAGAGAAGCAGTATGGTCAAGTAGTCTCTCGGTCCAAGTCACATCTTTCTCTCCATCATACTTCGTACATCTCCTGTGGTAAAGCGCTTTACCTTGGAGATGAAGAGAATAATCATTAGGAGGTCCGGATGGGACTCGGCCGGTGTTACCACCACAATCGAAGGGCATGAAACCGATTCGGAAAGTTGGTAGAAATTTCGGGACTGTAAAATGTAACATGAATAAATTCTGAGGATCGTGAAGAAGAGAGAAGTGGGTATTGAGTGAGTGAAGGAAGTGAAGTGAAAGGAACAAAGGTGGAAGGGAGTAAAAGTAGCGACATACTCGGTTCACCTTCCCCTTTCCACGCACCAACCCCCCCTGGTGTCTTCCTCACTTACTCGTACATCTTGTTGCGCCTCACTCGACAATTCCCCTCTCTCACCCAATGGAACAGATCGTCCACCCTTCATCTCCTCCAAACAAGTCGAGGTCCAATTTAACTCTTCCCAAAATCCTCTTCTCCGAGACCGAGATCGCTCTCACCGCAGTCGTCCTGATGGCGCCATGCTCGGTACTGTTTGTACGAAATACGAGTCGGCGCCATCGTGTGCTTTACCCGATCTGACTATAGCATGGAGCGTAATTACGGTGCGCCTTGACCTCGGCTTCGCTTAGACGCTCTGTCCCAGTGTCCTTCGCCACCGCCTCTTCCACCTCCTCCCCCCTCATCCTACAACTCTATCCCAGGACTGGCATGGTTTACGAATCTTGGGAACGGGTACTGGTCCGTGGGGACAATCACTCTTCGTCGCATCGCAAGCGAGCTTTCCTCGTTGGCTTGACTCGGCGGTCGTTTCCTTCGCCTGGCAAGATCACACCCTACCACTGGGTGGGTTGGCTTTGATGGCCCATCGAAAAGCGTCGAAGCTTGACTTGCCCACACTTCGATTCATCTTATTGCCGAAGTCACTCTCTGGCGGTACCTTCTTTGAACCGGGCTGTCGTCCTTCCGAGGGAAGCTCGTGAATCGTCGTGATGATTTCCCAGGTTTGTCAAACGTTTTTGCTTCATTTCATCTGATCTCAAATCTTTGGTCTTTTCTATTATATTCGTTTGCCATTGTTCAGCCGAAGCGTATTTTGGAGTGGGCTGTGCCGTGTTACTGAGCGAATACTTCTTTGTCAATCACACCCTTCGAGCTCTCGTCCCAGCGCGAGATGAGATTTCCTTGGTCGAAAGCCGGAGTGGCGGACAAACCGTCAGATTCGGGAGTTCAAGAGAGCCATCTGAGCCCTCCATCGGGACAGCCAGTCTCAGCAGATACTGTTGACCCCGAGAAGAGACCCGTCCCAGCTGATTCGAGTGTTGGGGAGCCTGGTTTACTCGAGAAACCATCGGCCACCACGCCAGAACAAGATATCCCCATTTCAGCATCCTCTGATGAGAAGGCCGTGCTACATGTAAACGAAGATTTATCCCGCAGAGACTCAACAGCAACTTCCGATGCAGGCGAACCCGGCGAAGATGATGAATCCAAATACGCTAGGGGTTTGCCATTGCACCTCTTGACGTTCGGCCTCACTCTATCAACCTTTGTCATTGCCCTGGACAACACCATCATCGCAACCGCCATTCCCAAGATAACCACAGTCTTCAACTCCCTAGATGATGTCGGCTGGTATGGCTCCTCGTATCTGCTCACAACGACCTCGCTGCAGCCGTCTTTCGGGAAGATATACACCTATTTCAATGTGAAATGGACATACATGGTGGCGCTCTTCATCTTCGAAGTTGGCTCGGTGCTGTGCGGCGCAGCAACGAACTCTACCATGCTGATTGTGGGCCGTGCTATTGCCGGGGTTGGTGCAGCAGCGATTTTCTCTGGCGGCATGACCATTGTAGCGTATTCGGTGCCCTTGCGGAAGAGGCCCATCTACATTGGGCTGTTGAGCTCCATGTTTGGGATTGCTTCCGTTGTTGGGCCTATTCTGGGAGGAGCGTTTACCGACCGTAAGTGCCCCGATTGAATCACTGCCGATGGGAGATTGGCCCGCTGATCCCGGTTTCTTACAGGCGTGTCGTGGCGCTGGTGTTTCTACATCAACCTCCCTATCGGGGCGATCGCTATCACGGCCGTGTTTTTCTTCTTCAAGAACCCCGAGCGCAAGCACAGCAACCTCACCATGAAGGAAAAGATCGGCCAGCTTGACCTCCTAGGCGCGTTCTTCCTGATCTGTGCCATCGTCTGCCTCCTGCTGGCCCTGCAATGGGGCGGCACCACCTACGCATGGTCGAACTCGAAAGTCTGGGGCTGCATCCTGGGATTTGGGCTGTTGATTATGGTCTTCACGGGCATCCAATTGTGGAAGGGTGACTTGGCCACGCTCCCACCACGGATCATGCTGAGGCAACGCACCGTGTTCGTGTGTGCGTTCTTCTCTGCCTTCCTCGCCATGGGCCTGTATACGCACGTCTACTACCTCCCTTTCTACTTCCAGGCCGTCAAGGGCACGACGGCCGAGCAATCCGGGATTCGCACGATTCCATACCTGGTCAGCATCACCATCTCATCGATCGTGGTCGGGGCCAGCATCACGACGCTGGGGCCGTACGTGCCATTTACGTGGTTCGGCTCGGCCATCTTCGCCGTTGGGTCTGGCATGCTATACAATCTGAAGGTAGACTCATCGACAGGGACGTGGATTGGGTACCAGATCCTGGCTGGGACGGGCGCGGGCGCGTGCGTGCAGATCCCTTTTATCGCGGTGCAGGTGGTGCTGAACAAAAAGGACATGCCTGTGGGCAACGCCGTGGCCATCTTCTTCAACTCGCTCGGCGGCGCCATCTCCATCTCCATCGCACAGAACATCTTCTCCAACACCCTCATCCAGGAAATCCCCAAGTATACCCACGGCGTCGACCCGCAGGCCATCATCATGGCCGGCGCCACCCACATCCGCCAGGTCACTCCGCCGGCCCAGCTCGCTGGCGTGCTGTACGCATACAACGTCGCTGTTACGCACTCGTACATTCTGTCCATTGCCTGTGCGAGCATCGCCTTTTTATTCTCGCTGGGCTTTGAATGGAAGAGCGTCAAGGGGAAGAAGATCGAGATGAGTGGGGGTGCGTAGGTTTCTTTGGATTTCTCTGTCTCTGCCTCTCTGTGTTTGAAGAGAGTAAGAGTAAAAGACGTGGAGGGGGAGAGACAATGGTGGGAGGTAGATTGTAGAAACTCCACTTAACTTTTTCTTCTTGTTCTCCTCTCTCGTGGAAATGACTAGGAAGAGGGAAATCCGAATCTGAATACTTGACACATATATAGCCTGCATGTATGTACCGACCTAGGTATTTTTTTGGTCTTTCTTTACTGGGCGTGCCCACCAGCAGAAAGAGGAGGAGAGGGGATGGAAAGGGGGATATGTATGTAAAACGCTAATGTAAATATCTCTTTCGATATATCAATATATCAATATCTTGTTGAAAAGAGAGGGAGGGGAAAAACCCATCCCCATCAAAGCTAACAACTGTAGGCTAGCCAGACTGGCAATGGCTGGCAATGGCTATGGCTATGGCTTGGCTATGCTATGCTATGCTATGCTATGCTATGCTATGCTATGATGGCACTGTAGCAAATTAGGCAACTAGGCGGCGGATTCCGGGTCCTCTTGGTTCCAAAACGCCATAAAGTCGAATCGGAGAGCGGCTTCGAGGAGTGTGGTCTGGAAAGTAGCGTCAGTGGGTTAATCAGACAGGGAGGTAGGTCCGTCTACATCCATGTAGGTACAAACAAGAGGAAAGAAGGTAGGGAGGGAGGGAGGGAGGGAAGAAGAGGACAAGGTGCGGGTGGCTAAAAGAGGATACCAACTCACCGCATGTGGAGAGGTCGGGGGCGGGGCGGTCCAGACGCACGCCTGGCTGGCAAGGGCGGTATGTTCCAAGGGGACGGTGTCGGCGGGGTTGTCCTTGTTATCAGCATTGCTGGCGGAGGTGGTGGTGGTGGCATAATAAGGATGGCGGGTGAAGCGAAGAAGATAGGCGCCGGAGCCAGCGCGGTCGAAGACGATGTCGCGAAGCCTGATGCGGTTCTGCTCGGGCACGTCGGAGCCCACGATCAGGGAGGTGAGGCCATTCTCCTCGATGTGGACGACGCGCACGGCGATCCGGGCGAGCATCTGGCCGTCCAGGCCGCACTGGCGGAGCATGCAGACGGCGCGGCGGCGGAAGCTGGCGTTGCGGTACCGCGTGGCCACGAAGAACAGGATGGGCACGAGTCGCGCCCGTCGCCGCCGCCGGATCAGCAGGCCGCAGCTCACCACGACGTGCTCGATCGTGCCGGCGTACGCGTCAAACGCCACTTCCTGCCTGAAGGGGCCGCACCGCGACAGCACGTGCAGGCACAAGTGGTACGTCCGCAGGAGGTGCAGGTCCGCGAGCATCTCGGTGCTGAGGTGGTGGTGGTGGGTGGTGGACGGGTCGAATTCAAGGGCCGTCAGCTGCGCGAGCCACGCGTTGAGTTTGTCCGTCATGTCCGGCACGACCTGGAACCTCGTCTGTGGTGGGGGCCCGTCGAGTCGCAGCGCCGTGCATTCAAAGGCGAGATCCTGCAATGCCCGTGCGGCGGCGTCAATGCGCCCCCAGAGCTGTGTCGGGTTGACTTGTGGGTAGAGCACAATGTTCTCTGCAACAGCGGCGGCTTCTGTTTTGCAGTGGGGAGACCACCAGGTCATCGCCTGCGGTCGGGCGATCTGGTGCAGCTCGCTGGTGTGTAACTCCAGCATGGAGAAGATCTGCTCGAGTTCCGTGATGGCCGCGTTGTCACCGGTGCGCTGGGTTGATGACGATGCCGCGGCCGACCGGTAAGTATTAAGGATTTTGCGGCCGGCGATGAGATGCTGGATGGCCGCGAATGAATTCTCCCTGTATTCGTCGCACAGGACTAGGAGGAGGCAGGCCATGAGCAGGAATCCTGGATCCGGGTTTTGGGTTTGGCTGAGGAGCTTGAGCGCTCTGCCGTAGTGCTCGAGGAAGACGACATCCTCTTCGAACGGTGGCTTACACGGCTGACGCAGTCGATGCGACCCCAGTCTGGACGCTGCGATGGTGAGATGCTTGATGCTCTGGTCGATAGCGCAAGCTTGCAGCACGAGCTCGTTCCAGAAACGGTGGCTCCCGTAGTTCAGCATGGCCGGGGCACAAACTTGAACGAAGAATCTCAATGATGTCCAGGCTTCGTGTTCGCACAGTGCGGGCATAGGAGCGCCGAGCACTAGCAGGACGCCGATGGGAGGCGGATCTTGTCTTCCTCCCTGGGGTGATGGGTACCCATCGCATTTGCGGCCTGTGCTTAGACAGCGGTTACAGGATGGCTGGCCGTAATCGCAACGGACACGCCTGATTTTGCAAGTAATACAAGCCCTGCCGCGCCGTCTTCGAGTGCTGGGCTTTATTTCGCTCTGAGAAGGATCCAGGACCTCAACCATGGTTGGCTTTCGGATGCAAAACAGGTCGATTGGGGTCGATACCGAACAGGCGCCGCTGGTCAGTCGCAATCGTGCGAGATGCGAACAGCAACGATAGTAGATTTGACTTGACAACAGATTTGTTCAGCAGCTGTCGACCGTCGAACCGGCGGAACAGAGCGAGGGATAGAGTTCAGGCCCATGTTGCCACAAGGTCGAAACCACAAAAGCTTGAAGATTGGATGTCGGCCATAGATATCCATATTCACTAAGTCCGCATTTCAAGACCGCAAGACATGATTGGTCTGCTCGCGAACTAGACGTTAGCTGCATATCGAGACCCAAAGTGTCTTTCCCCTGTTCTGTAAACCTTGGACCACCTTTCTGTCACAAGGCTTGGTAAAGGATAGATATTGTCCCGACTTACAAATGCAGTGTCGATGTAGAGGGAGCTTTCCCACAGTTTTCGACGTAGCTAAGTCCGAGAGAACTCTGGCAGAGACCTGGTATCCAGTATATAAAAAGCAGCCATGTTCCCCAGAGCAAGTTGAACATCTGAGTGCACAAACCGGTAGAAATATCTTGAATTCTCTAGATCTCCAACATGTCTCCAATCACAGCAGATCACACCGTCGTCCTTATAACAGGTGCCAATCAAGGAATCGGCTATGAGTGCGTCAAGAAGCTGGCAGCTGAACAAACCAACTACCACATCCTGCTCGGCTCGCGAAGCCTGGAAAAGGGCAAGGAAGCAGCGAGCAGCTTGACAGATCTGGCCCAAGGTACCTCAGTCGAGCCTTTGGAGCTCGATGTCGACAACGATGACAGCATTGCCAAAGCCGCCAAGTACGTCGAGGAGAAGTTTGGTCGACTTGACGTCCTGCTCAACAACGCGGGCATCAGCGGCGTCAAGGGCGTGAGTTTTCGCCAAAGCATGATCCAGACGCTTCAAACCAACACCGTCGGCGCCGCTTGTGTGACGGAAGCCTTCATTCCCCTGATGCGAAAGGCTCAAGTCCCGCGGCTCCTCTTCATGTCGTCGGGCCTCGGTTCCATCACCCTCACTTTGGACCCTTCGTTCCCCTATTACGAATTGGGCAATACACCTGATGTCAAGGGATATATCATTTCAAAGTGTGCAGAGAACATGGTCGGGGCTTTGTATGCGGTTCAACTAGGCAAGGAGGGATTCAAGGTCAACATGATTTGCCCCGGTCACCGAGCCACCAACTTGAATGGCTATGACGCGCGTGGCACCAAAGCTGCAGACGGTGCAGTCGAGGCTTGCCGATTGATCGTCGATACTGATAAAAACGGTCAACATGCAACATTCACCACCTCTCCTGAGACACAATACCCATGGTGAGAGGTGTCGGACTTGTATCGCTGCAAGGAAGTGAGGGAATGACTTTGGGAGGATGAACGATACGGTGACAGGATTTGACTATAGGTCTCGATTTTGACACGCTCGGGACGATGGTTTGAATCAGTCTGCGCGGAATATACTTGTATACCAAACTAGATGTTAGAGGCAGACCTGCACATGTACGTAGTTAACTTTGGCCAATACCGAAAGTTTTCGGGATATCTGGTCCATGCACGAAACTCTAAAAATTGCCAGAGATGAGAGATAGTGTAACTGGCATTGCCCACACCCGTACTCGGTACGAGGTACTCATTGAGAAAATTATGTGCAGATGAATCGGTCAGGAGGAAGAGAGAGTGGCGGTGAACTATGCGGCAGCCTAGAGTTTTCTCCAAAATGCCCCCAAAGTCCCTATAAGTGGGTTCCACATTTAGTCCTTAATAACATAATATATATATTACAGTACCACATTTTCTTGCCAATTAGCTGTAGACACTATGGCCGAGCGGTTAAGGCGTGTGACTAGAACTTGTTCCAGTTATCACATCTCTTCGGAGGCATCGGTTCAAATCCGATTGGTGTCGACATTTTATTTCTTTTTGTTTTGCTTTTTGCCAGGCCTTTTTTTAACCTGCTATGGTCTTTTTGCTGTTGGGTTACTCCCAAGACATTTTCTGCGATTGAGGCTGTTGTATGAGTACCAAATGCATGGTGCGCTGAAGGCTTGGCACGGATGATGACGGAAACATTGCCAAGAATTGCCAAGGGTGGAACAAAAAGTGACGTCGTCATCCAATGCCTGTATTCGCCGAGCGCCACCATCGCCAACTCGTACACCACATCCTCAACATCCACCACAAGCCTTGTGCTTCCTAGGCGGGACACTGGTTGACTATCGCAGAAGATGAGTGTGGATAACCAGGAGGACGGAACAAAAGACAAGTATCAACAGTTCTGCCTAGGTGGAAAAATGACATGACTTGCGATCTCTCCCCCCTCAAAGTCACACAAACTCCAGCACAGCCAGATCGTTCTCCATTTCCACACTTGATCAGCCTGGGCCTTGGTATTGCAATCACGAGCAGAGGGACCTGCTCACCCTTCAGCCGGGCCTTTGCCCACGGTGACCTAGGCTGAGTTCCAAATGTTACACGAACGAAGAACAAACACGGACCAGAAACGGTAATGCAAACCCCCGTACAACGAGGCAATTCTCTTCTTCTGGGTGGAAATACGTTGACGAGAGGCACCTTTACTTCCCTCTGTGCAACCAATTTGTCTATCACAACCTCCAGCCGCCCCCTTCTAACATGGGTTTTCTGGGTTGCCCAACGAAAAGGGCCTCTTTGATTGTTCTCGACGTTTGATACCGCGGATGCCTTTTTGCTATTCCTGCCTCATTGACTTCCCCCCCTTGGCAACCTCCTTAGGCACTTATAAAACGAAAAGGTATCGACGCAGCAATCCCCAGGTAGACGGATACCTCTGAGAGTGCCATCTTCCCTTTTCGTGTCAGGAAGGAGCAAACATACCTTACGGTCCGCAACAACGACAAGCGAGCAACAGGGCCCAGTCCTCACAATCCCCAACGCAAAACCCTTCCCAATGGAGATCTGGCGCTACCACCCTGACGGCTGGCACGAGCCAATCCTCTTCACTCGGACACGCGGGCGTGGTGGACGCAGACGTGACGGTGAGGCCATCTACCTGGGGCATGGCGTCGGCGCGACATTTCACGTTCCCCCATACCAACGCCGCAGCCGTCGTCGATCCCCACGACCCGCACCCTGGGACTATGATAACGACTCCGACTATTGGTAAGAAACAATCTAACCCTCTTGAGGGAGGTGGAGGGAAGAAAGAGGAGACAAAGTCGTGGCACGTCAGAGCTGATTTGATAACCTTTACTTGGGTAATATCTCTAGGTCCGACGACGACGACTACAGCAGATACCGACGAGGCATCATCAACAACACCAACAACCACTTCACCCGCAACAACCCCGCTTCCTTTGCCCGTGCCCTCGCCAACAATCGAGTCGTCGTCAACAACATCTACAGATCACCAAGGCATTATTACTGACGAAAGTGCCAACCTGTACTCGGCACACAAAAGGGGAGGATCGTTTTCGTTCGAAAGTCGATTTTTGGTCGTTGAGGGGGATGATGGGGTAGGATTGAGATACCGCGGGAAAAGGAGGCTGGCAAAGGGCGGAGAACTGATCATGAGGCATACGTCGAGGTCGACTTTGTGTTGAGAGAGATTGATTAGTCAAGGTAGTGTTTGGAGGGGAGAAGAATAAGTCTTGAAGAAATACAAAAAAATCGAGTTCCTATCAACTTTGTCACGAACTAACTACCCTTGAATTTTATTCTTGTTCTTGATCTTGTTCGTGGCCTCGTTCTAGATCCAAGTCCAAGTCCAGGTCTGTGTCTAGGACGACTTTATTTTTTGGCCGAAACACCTTGGCTCGTCGCCCCTGACTTTTCTCCTCTGACTCAACATCCACCGGTACAGATCCGGATTGTTGTACGTGCGGGTCCAGCTATCGTGCATGAGGTCCGGGTACCGCGTGAAGGTGACTTGGGTTGCATCGGCCTCCTCCAACGCGTGGACCATCTGTATCGACGCCCGGACGGGGATGATGTCGTCGCGATCGCCGTGGAAGATCCTGCCACCCTCGAAAATTAGTAGAGTCCCTCATATTCAAAATGATTCTCGTGTGTCGTCGACGACGACAACGACAACGACGGTAAGAACGCAGTACTACTCACCAGTGCGGCACGTGCTTGACGTGGGTGACCCGCAAGGGATCGCCACCGCCGCAGATCGGGACCAGCGTCGCGAACCGCCGCGGCGAATGCATGGCAAGATCCCAGGCGCCGTAGCCGCCCATGCTGAAGCCCGTGACGTGGATCCTGTCGAGGTCGATGCGGTAGCGGTCGACAATCTCGTCGAGCAGGGCCGACAGGATGGCCGCGTTCCAGCCGTATCCGTTCTGCATGTTCAGCGACGGCGTCACCGTGACAAAGTTCTCGGCTAACAGCTCACACGTCTCTCGGGGGACGGGTTCCGCGGAGCAATCGCCCTGCTGCTGTCGTGTCTGCTTGCTCCTCCGCAGCCGTGGCGCCGGGGGGATGTTGATGGCAGGGTCTTCATGGCCTGTCGGACCGGACTTTAGCTTGTCGTAGCAGAGGACGACCTTTGGCACGCCGTGCCGGATCGAGGCAAACGACTCGTGCGGCCCACGCTGCGACTCCCCCGCGCCGTGCAGGAAGAGAATCAGCGGCCACGTCTTGTTCCTGGTAAGGTCCGAATCATACGTCGGCGGCAGCGAGACGAAATGCTCGTACCCAAAGGGGGCATTGGAGATGCGCTGGTCAAAGTATTCGAACCGGATGTGTTGGGTGTGCGCGTAGGCGTGGCCGGGATCCTTGGGTGGCGAGCTCCCTTTCTTAGCTGTGTCACTACGGCCACCACCACCCTCTATACTCGGTTCGGGCGGCCGCGACATGATGACGACTGCAGGGACGTTCTTGGGCCCTCGTTTGGCCGTGTGGAAGTCGTGCAGCGAATTGGGGTTCTTCTCGGGGTCGTCGCGAACTATCGTGGTGGTGGACACGGTATGGTTACCCATGCTCCCTTGTGGTTGCGGACGTGGTTGTAGTTCTGATGTTGAGGTAGACCTTATTGGTGCTGGTGTCATATTGACGTTTTCATTAGACGTTCAGACGAACCCGTCGTCGGAGACTGTGTCCGATCCTCGAGATATTAGCGTAGATATTGTAAATTTGCAAACATCATAGAGCAGGTTCCATCATGCTACCGCTGAAGTTCTGTGCCTCGTCGGTCAGCCCAAGAGAAGATACAGGATGTGACTTGATGTCAAGGCACGGAGAGACAAAGTGTCAAGTGTACAGCCATCCATGTGGCGAGAGATGCTCGTGGGAGACTTTGCCAGGCCTGATTGGAATGGGGTATTGCAGATCTCCCTCTTTTGATAGGGTTGCCACCTAAATTAGGGAGGAACGATTCGTCTGTGTACGAAGGGTATCTTCAGTTACCTTTCGTGATCGGTATCGCTGTAACAATGCTTTCTGTGGATCTGACGCTGTCGGGTCTGGTACTCTGCTTTACGTAGATTGGTTACTTTGATGAATAGTCCATCTGGGCTCGTTGGCTGTTACACTATTACGATTCTGGGTCAAATCGAGACCTAGATACTTTGCGAGGAGCTCCACGCCGGGGCATGGAAGACGTTGATTTGACCTGGTGCCTGTGAATCCAATCTTGGGTCTTCCGAGTGGTGTTTGTGGTGTGGTTTGTGGAAGATTCTCTCCAAAGTCCTCGACAATCCAATACCACAGAGAGATTCTGCGTCATTTCTTTTCCCAATGAGGGATTGGGCTATGTTGAAGATAGATCGGAGTAATATGTACCTCGTAGGTTACTTGGAAGAAGAGTTCAGAGGTGCATCTTTGCATATAGGCGCTAACCTAAAGAGGTAATCGCCTGGGAATTACGTAGTTCCGCTCCCGCGACAAGTTGCGAGCATGATTCCGGTCCCCAGATTGACCTCAACACAGACATACCAAGTCCCTGTCCGATATCTCGCAAGCACCTCGAACCTTGTCAGTCAGACGAACCGCCGCAGCGCGGGCGGCCATGCGGGAACCATGGGAAACTCTCAAAGCGCGCACAAAATCTCGGCGCATGACAGGTACAGTGATTTTGAGCCCTCACCCTCCCCTCCGTCTGTGCCAGTCTATCTTTCTGCCTAATCGCAATGTTCTAACCGGCTATGCCTTCTCTGGCTCGTATAGGGCAATTCTGGACATGAAGAACCAGCGGGACAAACTGCGGCAGTACCAGAAACGAATCACCGTCATCACGACGCGCGAGACTGAGATCGCAAAGGAGTGCCTGGCCAAGGGCGACAAGGCCAAGGCGCTGCTGGCGCTGCGGCGCAAGAAATACCAAGAGTCGCTCCTGTCCAAGACGGACGCGCAGCTGGAGCAGCTGGAGAAGCTGACCAGCAGCGTCGAGTTCGCGCTAGTGCAAAAGGACGTGCTGTTCGGGCTGCAGCAGGGCACGCAGGTGCTGAACATGATCCACAAGGAGATGGGCGGCCTGGAGGGCGTGGAGAAGATGATGGGCGAGACCGAGGAGGCCCGCCGCTACCAGCAGGAGATCAGCGAGGCGCTGGCCGGCCAGATGTCCAACGAGGACGAGGACGAGGTCGAGGACGAACTGGAGGCCATGGAGCGCGAGGTCGTCGGCCTCCCCGACGCGCCCAACAAGACCATCCTGGGCGAGGACTCTCTCCCGGAAGTGCCCAAGACGGAGCTGGAGCGGGAACAGGAGAGGATACAAAAACAAAAGGAAAGGGCGCGGCAGAGAAGAGTGGCCCTGGAGGCTTGATATTGATTCCCCAAAGACAACTTTTTGATGATTGTGGTCACGATATAGTACAGCTGTTGTTTATGCGTTTTAGCGTCTGACATGATACAACAATTCTCTCTAAACTCCCTCCCTCCGAAGCTTCTCCCCGAATGCTCTCACTGGCCCGGCATAGACTGGTTGGTGTTGACCAGACCCTGGATCAACTTATGATCTTGCGGGTTTGCCGCCGCCTCGTACAGCACATGGACTGGCTCGCGGTTGAGCGCCATGAAATCTCCCTTGAACCCGAGATAGCTGATGCGAGTGACATCCTCGTCCCCGCCTGAATGGTTGTCCTCGAAGAAGAGATTGATCGAGGTTGTGCCATTCCATAGCGCCCGGTTCAAGGGAATCTCGGCCACGTCGTTGCTCTTGGGGAGAGTCAATTTCTGCGTAGGTTTCAGGTCGGATGCGAGGGTGAAGTCCATGTCGTCTCTGTTCCGGAAGAGCTTGAGTGTCTGTGGGGCCGAGTCTGTGTCTGACGTCCGGATGAGGATGGAATAGAGCTTGCACGACCCAGCAAACGGCACATGCATCAGCAGCTGTTCGTCTGCATCGCTTTCGAGAATGGGCTGCTCATTGAGGCGTTCATCCCACGTCTTTTGGACTATCGCCGCCCCTGAGCGCGGTTCAGCCTCGTTGAGGGTAATGATGCCTTCAAAGTTGATCTGTTTGTAGAGGTTCGATTGAAGGGCTGGCTCGAGGTCGTGAGAATGGTCGTGTTCGTGACCGGCGCCATGGCTATGGTCGTGGCCGTGGTCATGGTCGTGATAGTGATCGTGAGAGGACATTTTGCATCTGAATCCGCCGTCGTTCTGTCACTTTCTGTCCCAAGTATTGCAGTGCTTTGTGATGTGCTGCTGCTGGCGCAATCAATCATTCATACTTTGTGTTTCCTACCATAGATCGAAACACCGCATCCACAGGAGTGTTCTTGTGCAAGAGACGGTAGGATCCTCACCCCACTGTCTCTTCAGGTTGTCATCGAATGTTCCAGGACGTGAGATGGGCGCGATGGGCCGATGGCGTCGTTCTTGTTGCCGGCGCCCAAGAGGGAAAAGTGGCGCAGGCGGAGAATCTTGGTTTCTTGGCCCCGCCTTGTCTCTTGATTGACGTGCGCCATTCATTTGTCCTCAACCCTTGTTCCTGATTCCCATTCACTCAGTTCAGACCGCGCAAGGATCTTGTGTCGGTCCTGTCTAGAGCTTGATGAGCACCTCATCAGATTTGGTGGTCAAGGAATGAACTTGCCATTAGTCTAGTTGTGTCATACAGCTGAGCAACGACAGCTGATACAAATGGCACCAAGGGTTAAGCGAGCAACACAAGATTGGAGAAGTTAATAGACCCCAGGCATGATGGACAAGTTTTTTGTTCCTCTTAAGCGTGAGCCCACGCCAGCTGCACACGGACAACGTCAAGAGTTGCAGCTCGCTATGCAGTTCTGGTGGAATGTCGTCTTGTTACCTCTCAGGAGGGAGGGAAAGCCCCCAGAATCAATGGTGAGTTCATTGTGAGCCCCCTGACATATACCTTTCCAGGTTGGTTATATCAAGGTTGTATACGACAGCCAGAAACATCCACGACTGAGTCCCACAATCTGAAGCCTTGTTCATCGGCCTTTGCTGCCATGATGGATTGTCGAACCCTACCCAGTGGAGGTAAACTCTTCACGAGGCTTAATCATCTTCTGGCATTGGTGGATGGTGTGCTGGGACTGTCTCTTGTGATGTCGAGATGTCGAACGACAAGGCTGTGAGGACATAGGGGTGGCATATGTGCATTTTCGGGGTCTCCATGGCACGGTTTGACCGAGACAGGAAGCACGGATGACAGGAGAAGGACAGGAACACTCTCCATCTTCCCTTCAAGACGTGAATCCCCATCACTCAACCAGGAAAAGCAGGTCATCCGAATGCTAATTCGTTTTCGTGCCAAGGCGAGGCCGTGAAGTTGTATACAAAACTCATCTTCTGCCTCAGCCTGCGGTGTTTCAATTCCATCCTCAAACCATCTCTCTCGAATCGCCATCTTTCAAGCCATTCATCATCAAACACTCGCTCTATCTCCATCTACATTCGTTGAACCATCCCCTCTATCGCCCATCATGGCAACCACTACCACCTGGGACGCCATCGTCTTCATCGCGTCGTACGCCTTCGCCGTCTTCCTCACCCTGGTTGATGCTCAGTCTTGTGGGAACATGACCACAACTGTTTCAGTCATCGAAACCGTCACCGAGACCATCTCCTTGATGTCCGGGCCCGTGACTGTTACCATGACTGAGTCCATCGACGCCTTCAATTTCACTCACGTCTCTGGTACTACCTACCCCGGAATCACTGCGACTACAGACACAGTCACAGATACAATCATTGTCGGCAATGAGACCAGCTCCCTGTCTACTTCAGGTACGTTACCACTGACCAACACTACTCCCCTTCCTCTTGACAGCACTTGGCTAACACGTCGTCGCGCAGCCATCGACTCTGTTCATTCCGGTTCTGCCATCACCTTGACAAGCACCACCAAGATCACTTCTTATGGTGAGTATAAGGACAGCCTGAGTCGCGTCAAGATTAGGAAACTCACAAAAGCAATAGTCAACACCACTGTCTCTGCTACCGGACCTGCTACTTCCAGTGGCGCAAGCAGCAATCTCACGCGTGGTAAGTGATTCAAAAAGTCGCGTCACTGCGCTGCCTCATTTCCTTCCTCGACTTCCTGTCGCATACTAATATGTGTATATAGCATCGGTGCCTGGCTCTCTTACTCTGACATTCCCCATTGTCACTGCCAGTCCTCCTTGTGCCTCTGGTCTCCCCAATGCAACCTGCGGTAATGGCAGCTTCATCTCAGTCGCTGGAACTTCGGTGGACAACTTGACTTCCCTTACTACCGTCATCAGCACCGCATACCTTGATACCATCACGTCGGTTGCTCTGGTCACCACCGTCACTGTTGTGAACACTTCGAAGCCATTCTTTGTCAATGGGACTTTTGAGACTAGCTTCCCCTTTGCCACTCCAGACTTGTCGTCTGCGTTGAGTGTCGCATCATCTGCCTTTGACAGCATCACTGGAAACCATCCTGTCAGCAGCATTGGCACCAGCACGAGCACGACCACAACCACTGTCACACTGTCAAGGAGTTCTGCCACTGTCGGCGCTGCCAATTCCACACTCGAGACTGCTACTTTGATGATGTTCTCTACCATGACTACCACCTCGACCGTCGAGCCAGTCGACTCAGCCTTGAGCAAAG